GCGGTGGCTGCGCGGAAGCAATAGTAGGCGACGACGTCTGCGTATGCAACGACCGCGTCACCAGCGTCGGCGATACTCTCGGCGACAGAGCGGCCCGCAGCATTGGTTGCGTGGGCGTTCCAATTGCAAGTGACGACGTGGATGTGATGGTAGGAGATGGAATTTGTGGCGGCGTGTCGGGTGTGTCTAGTAAATCTGCGATGGATGATGTCCGTCGAGGGGGATGAGGTAGTGGCGGCGGTGGCGGGGCGAGCGGCGTTGAGGATGGCGAGGACAGCGAATTGGTGCCATCTGCGTTGATTATCGAGCGCAAGTCCATTGCGTTCAAGCGGGCCTGCGGCAACTGACGACTTTTATGATGTGAGACGTGATGCTGACTGTCCCTCGAGCGGTGAGGTTTCAATGGCACTAGTATAAACTGGTTCAAAATTGGCGCAACGGTGGTTCAGGTTTAAGCTTTTGATCATTTTATGCCCTGTAATGCAACCGGATGTAAACAGCCTTGAGATTGTTTTCGCAAGAGCATAGCTTATTGAGAATTGGACGGGTCTACTTTGTCTCCACAAGGGTCAAGGGATCATGAGCGCGCATCAGTGTCGGACTGTCGGTAGCATTGGGGGCTTTGTGGACTACTGGACTCGCATTGGTTAAAAGGCTTCGATATATATGCCTGCCATATTACGTAGCCTCAACCCTCCTCCAATACATTGGACCGCGCTTCATTTCGCGACATCATGCTAATTGCCCATGGAAATCTCCCGTCTTTACGTGCTACTTGCATCCGACAACTGATTTAGTCGGAGCTACTAGCCTACTACTATAAATCCAGCTCGAAAATTCAATTGACGTGTTAAAACAATCGGCGACATAATTTATACAATCATTGCCATGCGATCTTCTTTCGAGGCTAGTCTATACAAAATCTCGTAACTCTTTTCTCACTTTGCAAAATAATGCTACCCAGATGCTCCACACATCGATTTACGTAATCACACACAGCCATCCTAACCATCCATAAAATAGCCAGACAGGGTACATCGCCAATACAACTCTACCCTCCCGTACCCCCGCCCCCTTCAACGTCCGCATAGAAGCAAACAACGACCACGCAATCAATGCAACGTCAATTGGGAACCGGATAATCATGCTCTTAACAATCAGCGAGAAAATAGCGCCGGGGACGAGCGGAAATAGCGCGTAGCCAAGGATACAGACGGCGTGGAAGAACGAGGTTGACCCACCCAGAAGTTTTATGTTGAGCGTGACTAATGCTTCTGCGATCCATACGAACGCGAAGACGCCGGAGAATACACGGGAGGTTTGTTGCGCAGGTGCAGAAATGGAGAGGGCCAAGGAAAGGAAGAGACAGAATACAAGTGGGCCCCTAAAATTGGCAGACGATGTCAGGACCTGTACATTTAAGCAGAAGCAATTAGAATGAACTCACCATAAATCCCAATCCCGAATAATTTGACCGCTTTCAGTATCGACATTAGCATTGACCTTTGGATAAAGCACCTGTTTCACTCTCCGGCCGACTGCTCGGACATCGCGCATCAAAGTCTCTAGTACCGGCTCATCGAGGGTATCTCCGCCAGAAAATCTTCGATCTTGAATTTGGTCACCCGCAAGGGTATGCGTATTCATATATAATGACTGTGGCGTCGCAATTCCCTGCGGTTGTGGCCCCGAGGAAGACGACGCCAAAGGAGGTGTTGGTCCTGATGCAGTCGATGTATATGGCGGAGGGCGGGGGGGAGTTGATATCGCGGCGCCTACCGGTTGTGGAGTGGAAGCACTAGATGATGGCAGCAGACTCGTTGAGTCGACATCTGGTTCAATAGTGCGATTGTCGTAGGACATTTTATGTGCAGTTCAATGCCGCGCAATTGTGCCTGTCCTGAGGTTCCTGTTGAAGACAGTGGCAGTGCTGCCTCCTGCTTCCAATTGCATTTGCATGCAGCCTCGAATAGGGTCGTTGCAGTGTTTGGCGCTAAACATCTCGTGATGCGAGTTGTGTGCACCAAATCGTTTACCACGTGCCACAACTGGCGCAACCAGGGAAACCGCGCGCGCATGCAAAACTGATAGGGGAGGGGTTTCGTATTGTGCGACTCTGACGTACATTATCTAGACTGAACACGGGGGACGAAACAGCTATATTGTGTGTACAGGCATTGGTTTATTATATATCAAACTTGTCACTGCAGTAAAATTTTGGTAAGTTAAACTAATAAGATGCATGTTGAAAGAATTGCCAATTGGAAAGTTACAGGTATTTCCAGCGCCGTTTGAGGTGTGAATGCCAACGAAATGTCCGAATATATGAAATACCTTCCGCAAGCAACTGGATTACTTCCTAAGTGGCTCTTATTTGTAAGAAGAATTCGTCGGTTGAGCTGCCTACTTATAATACTAAATGCCGACAGATTTCTGTTGTTTCGGCGTTCAATTCCGCTCAATCATATTTCGGCGGCCTGAAATTGACACGACGCGTGTACGAGGCTAATCCTGGCCAAGGCAGGTTGATGTAGAGTACTAAATGAAAGTCGATATGCTGATAATGAACGACAGTGACCGGATTGTCGGCGCGAACATTTGGGACATGGACATTTTTGACTGCTCTTGTACGGTTATATGGCGCATATCACATCAATAACCCAGCGTAAGTATGCGATTATTTCGGAAGGATAGTGGACATCCTGTTGCAATGTTGTTTGAAGACGTAAATGAGGCAACGACTAAATTTGGCGATCTAGTGTGTATGACATCACTTACGCGACCTACATTGTCGCGTTCATGCACTTCTCATCCGAATGGATTATTTACAAGACCGCAAAGCTTGGAAAGGGTCTCGCTGGCCCCTTGATTGTATCTAGTATGTTCCACTTAGGATGATAATTCGTATTTACACATTTAAAGAGTATGACTAACGACTTGATAGCCTCGACGTTGATTTGGATGACACTTCAAAAGAGTTATTATCTTAATCAGTAATTAGACTATTTTTTCCGCATCATGTATAGAGATGTCCATTTGAGCTACTTTGTTGTGTATCAGTAGGAGTGCCAAAATTGCTTGACCTTTGATTAACGCTAAACTTTATAGGAGAATAAAGCCGACAATTACAAAAAATCAAATTTTGGGGATGAATTCACACATGTGTGGGCCTAATGGAGTCTAAAAAATGAAGCAACAGATGTGGCGGGGACTAAATTCTTTCTTTTTTGTTTCTTCAGTTGCAGCATGTCGCTAATTATCGGGATTGATTGCCGAAGACCTTAGAAGGCTGAAATTGTGCTACACACTAAAAATATGCGCCGCTGTAGTACGGGACTCGCCGTTTGAAACGGAATTGTCGTCATCGCCTGACTCGACTATCCTCGTGTCCATGACGTCAGCGCGTTGCAGTGACAAGCGCCCGAGGTGGTGAGATCCGCTAAATTCGTCCGGGTAAGGATCACACAGCACGCGCCTTTGCACCTCTTCTGCTTCAATCGTCTTTTAAAAACCTGCGTGCTTAAAGGCAGATAAATAAACCTCTTCCCCCGGTGCTACTTTGTCGCTTCCTTCCAGCTTTCCTCATCTTGACCAGGGTTTATTCTACTGCTATATTAAATCAATTCATTGCGTGTAGAGCAGCTTTATAGCCAAAGTGGTTCTCTTGCTTCTATTTCTCCCAACTACCCCGCATTCACCTCTCACCATTTAGTCATCTCACCAACCAAATGGCACCACTTCCAGAGCATGTGCTCATACGGCCACTGGGCTCCGCAGATATCGACCAGGTCGTCAAACTAGAATCACATACATTTCCATCCAACGAGCGCGCTGGTCGCGAGAAGACGCGCTACAGATTGCACGCTGCACCAGAACTTAGTTCCGGGATGTTTGTTCGCGTCCCCACAAAGAAAGGACGATGCAATAAGAGAGATTGTTCGCGTTCGCAGCGGAGCCATAGTTCTGATTCAGCCTCGAGTACGTCCACAGTCTCATCGTCTAGTAGCACTAGTTCCCAGTTCCCTGGATTGCAATGTGGCCAGCAGAGTGGATCGCTACCAGCACCAATCGAATATAATGACGAAATGAACGTCACCGCATGTCCGCGGTCTAGAGAGAAGCTTATTGCGTTTGTGATCGCTACAAAATGCGCAACTGAATACATCACCGACGACGCACTTGAAGTTCCCGAGATTGATATGCCAGGCTACAGCAAACCTACTGATGTCAATGGCCAACGCGGACACGTCGAAACTGGCAATACCATCGCCGTTGAGTCGATCTGTATTGATCCTGGTATGTCTTCTCTTCTGTCATCAACGTGAGAACGATTGCTGACAATTTTATAGAATACCAAGGTATGAAGCTCGGAACTACAATCCTGCGCGACTTTGCCCAACGCATGTCGACACAAGCTGTCGCTGGCCGTATCGCCATTCTTGCCAGAGTGGACATGGTTCCATTTTACGAAAACCTAGGGTTTTACGACGCCGGACCCAGTAACGTCAAATTCGGTGGTGGAGGATGGCATAATCTTTGGATGAGTCTCGAGGATAGCGAAGTCGATGACTGAACAACTACTGATTGATTTCATACTCTTGCATAGACTTAGGAATATTTTAGTTGGTTTAATGTAATTAATATTCGCCGGCGTTATGTGTTACTGTTGCTCTTGCTTGTTGTCTCATTGTGAACGGTCAGATTATCGATGGCCGGCTGTTGTTGACTTGTACATAGTAATTACTAAACCACAAGGTTATGCATTTAAGGATATTGTGAGAATGTATGACTAGTTTGTTTTGAGATTAAAGACAAAAGTATTTTCGAGATCAATTTAAATTATGAATTACATGATCCCGCCCATGCAGACCTAAGAAGGACGCAATCAAACTTGAAAATCTTGTACAAGTGAACCTGATAGATCCAAGCCGGGCCAAAAAAACTTGAAAATCTTGTACAAGTGAACCTGATAGATCCAAGCCGGGCCAAAAAAAAAAAAATGGACAACACCGGAATCGAACCGGGGACCTCCCGCATGCTAAGCGGATGTGATAACCAACTACACCAGATGCCCCTGTTCTTAGTTCAATGGAACAGTTCTACATTACTCACGAATAGTAAAATATAGCTGCAAATAAGCCATAACTGCATGTACGATGAGAGGATATGCGTATTCTTGGATTGATTGGCTTTATGCCTTGAACGCCTGCGAAGCAATTGCTGAGTGGTTCTTTTAGGGCTGTTGACCCATCGTCGCCGATACTGGCTATTCGATATCAGCAAACAGGTAAATCGTCAACAGCCCGAAGTTACTTGTAATCAGAAAGATATTAGATAAATTAGATATGAAACTCTCAGATACAGTTTGAACTTCACCGCGATGGATCTTCGTGACGATAATGGGTATGCTATTAAAAATAATAATGCTATTACACGTCGTAGCCATAGACGTCTATACCTCGTCTCTGCTGCCACAATGGCATATCTGTACGCACTAATTCATATACAATTAGTAAGCTATATTTCCAACAGATCGTGTAATGACTTGCAATTGGATACCTTTTTTGACTACTTCTAAATCAATGTCCGCAAGGCATATACGCGGTAGTGAGTCTGTATCTGCACACTGTGCAAGCACTGTGCCCCACGGATCAATTATCTGGATACAAAGTTATTATGCAATGTTGCAAATTCGCCAAGAGGAATGTCACGTACCATTGCATGTCCCCAGCTTTGTCGTTTTCCTTCGGGATCGTGTGCGCCAACTTGTGCCGGCATTATCACATACCTATGGCGCACATATCAATCTCGCGTGCGCTTCTTACTCTAATATAACATTCACGTATCTTACGTTTGCGTGTCAACGGCGCGAGATCGTCCGAGTAATTCCCAGTGGGCTTGTCCTGTTCGAACAGTAAACGCGGACGGATACGTTATGATGTCAGCTCCAAGCGTACGCAACCGCAGAGAATGTTCTGGGAATCTAATCTGTGCAATATATTAGTATTATTGTAATCCGAATGGTGATATTGTAACAGATGTAGTCTCAGTCGTACGTCATAACAAATTGCATAGCCGACTATCATAATTTTAGTATTAGCCATGGTACAGCATCTTTGGATAAAGAGCCCGTGCGCTTACTCTTCCCAAGAACAGTATCAAATGGTGGCAGAACTTCTTGACCCGGTTGAACTGACCTAATTTATATTAGCCATCTCAATATATGCCCACATCAATCGATCAACCCACCTCGACTCCATTAATATCGGTCCATTCCTACAGTCTTCTTGTAAACAATAAATCAGAACACGGGATGAACCTTGTGAAAACCTACTTCAGATTTACGTCAAACAGATGCAGCTTCTGATACCGCTGCGTAACCTCTCCTCTAGAATTAATCCACAATAGTACGTCTACTCTATGGCGTTAAATTCTTCCTCAATTGCCAGTCAAATAGGTTTCCGCGTACTTTTGCAACGATCTTCATTCTCGACAGCTTCGTGAATTCCGACACTGACTTCTAACGGTGTATCCAGATTTCTCAATTCGTCTTGAATACCAATTACAAACTCAGACTGATCAATTGGTTTCGCTAATGCGACCGTTTCGGCTGGCGATCTTGCCATGTAATCAGACGCCTCGGGAAGAAACAACGCCTATTCACCACTTTTAATTAGTACAGTTCCAATTCCAGTTCGAGTATGTTGCATACTTTTGCACCCGCCTCTACAGATTTCCGTATCAAGGTCTTCACGCTGGCAAGGTTCTCAGCCATAGATCTCGTCGCGCAAAATTGACCTGCCGCGGCTAACGTCATTTTTCGTCTACTGACGTAAACGTAAATGGAGATTATTCTGTATTGGGAAATGAGTCGTCGAATCAGGCTGAGCTGGATATTGCGATGCATTCAATGTTGTGTTTGTTTAAGTGCGGATTCGTTTGTTTCTCATTCTCCAGTTTAGTTGGTAGTTGTAATCCCAGTGCCTTGGGATCTATAAAAACTTGTCCGCTTTCCAGAACTGTCATCATTTCATGTACGTTCCACGAGCAGGACAGAGCTTTAAATTACAATCGGTGTAATTACGTATTGTAGTTGACATTCATCGTGCTGTTCAACTGTTTTTTTATAGTGGCCTTATTCTTCTGAACCTCTCAGCCCTATAACAAACCTTCCTTGGATCGTCATCTGGAAACAATGCTTCTCGCAGTAGTCGTTGCACTTAATTCGCAAGCTCCGTACCTCGATCTATTTTTACATACTTATAAATCATCTTTTCCCTTACATACTATCATACTGACAATGACTTGTCAAATCACAACAACGCGCATAATAAAAGCTTTCAAAAATCAAATATAGTTCACAGATAAACAATTAAATCATTACCAAATTGTTCACTTAGCCGATCTTTGTGACGCCGCGATCCGATCTCCCAATGACAACGCAAGACCCTGTCCTTTACTTCTAATTCTAATGTGCCCCACGATATTGCCAGAAGCTTCCTTCTCAATACTCAAGTTCGCCAATGCATCTTCGCCGAACACGCTCTTGGCGTACAAGTTCGCGCTGAGAAACTGGCAATCACCCTTCAAGCTGGCTTCGGGAGTAAGTACAGACATATTGGTGTATGTGACTAAATTATCGAGATATTCCTTGAGACTGATGTCCTTGTTGCTGTTGGCATTGGAGTTGTTATTAATATTCACCTTGTTCTCCCATTCGAATTCAGTCCACATCGTTCGGAACTGTGTCTCCGAAACGTTGCCAGGGTGGATGTAGTCCATAATGTCAACGTGAACATCATTCAAGATGACAATATTGGACTCAGTCGACGACGAGCCATCATAAACAATATTGCCGAAAATCACGCCAGTGTCGGTCGATGAGACCTTAATGGTCGCTTGAACTGAGTGGAATGCGTGCGGGCCGAGGTTCTGCGTGGTAGGCTTCTCAACGACTTTCAAGTCACCCAGAGTAGCAAACTCGACGGCAAGATTTTGTAAAGTGTCAGTAGTCTGATTGACCAGCAAGACGTCGAGGACGATGTCAAATTGGTGCACCTTGACGTAGGCCTCAGCGTAAACAGTATCAGAAAAACCGGTCAGCTGAACCACCTTACTCAATTTAGAGCTAATATCCTCAGAAATCGTTTCTGTGCCGGTTGCCTTTGATAGATCAAGTTCAAACTCATCCTGACCCTCAACAGTAGATTTCTTGGCGAGCTGTCGGATTCCTAGTACATCGTCGACCTGCACAGCATTCCTTTCTTTCTCAATACGGTCCTTGTCGGCACGTTTAGACTGCTCAGCAACAACCATGGCATGGAAGGCAGCATGCGTATCTTCCAAAAACACTTCCTCAACAAGGTCAACCTTATCCATATCAGAGAGGGACTTGATACAGGACATAACTCTATCGACAGAGTCCTCGTCGATTGGCGCCTTCACGAACTTTGACTGGCCAACCCGCAGGACTGAAATCATGATTAACATGGCCTCCGCACGCAATAAGTTTTTCTGGTTGGCATCATCTGATATCTTCGAGTACCTTAGCACGAGTTTGGTGAGTGTCGACGCAAGAGTTGAGGCAAGATAGTAGTCGCCGTCTAAGATCAACTGTCGCAATGGCGGCTTTGATGCAGCCTTAACGGCCTCCAACTTAGCATTAACAGCTGCTTCAGACGTCAATGCCGACTCAGTTGCATATGTGCCATCGGGCAAAACTTTTCGTGAAGACGTTGGCTTGCTGCCGTTGACTTTGGCTTCAGCTGGCTCACCGTTACTATCCTCCTGCGACGCATCCAGAAGTTGCTGTTCTGAAGTTAGGATGGGAATCTCTCCAATACTAGACCGAATCCGCTTCCAAGAGTCTCTGATATCTGATTCGGAAATGCAGTATTCACCAAGAATCCAAAGTGCACCTCTATACACCTTCCCACTTCGAACATCACCGAGCGTCGACATAAGTCGGCCAACAATTGGTTGACGAAGTTCAGGGAACTTCTCGAGAACTTCCTTGACAAACGCAATGACGTCAACCGCAGACGTGTTGTTGAATTCGGAAATAAAGTCCATGAGTAATTCCACCACAGAAGCAGCGACCTCAGCAAACTTTATCGCACATTGATGAATACAGTGAATAAGCAACTGGCGATACTCATTATTCTTCTCATAGTCTTGGTCAATAGTCTTCGACAATTCCTTCTTCAGAAGCAAAATGACTTCTTGAACATTCTTGCTTGAAATCATCTCCAGGGCTATGTCGAGAGCCTTGCGACGGACATCGATATCAGGACTGGATAAAACGCGGAGAATCTCCATGGTGAGATCGTCCAGCACACCTTCATTCCGTTTGCGGAGCTGGTCGACACGGTCAAGTACGATGAGCTTAACGTTATTGTCGGACTCTTTTACACTTAGTTCGATGAATTTTCCAGCAGCAGCCTTTATAGCAACAGGATTACTGGTGAGAGCAGTTAACGCAGTTGCCGCCTCGTAGACGACAGTGTTCGACGGCGCCTCAAGTAAGTCGAATACAAGACGGAGATAGCGACCCTTCTGTGCCGTATTGTGCAACGCGTCCTTCCGAATAAACTCAATGAACGCCAGTTGCAATAGCTCATCCATCGTTGGAATGCTGTCATAGCTTTTGAGAAGGTACTCAATGGCACCAGTAGAGTAAATAGTCGAAAGGACAACAAATGCGTTCCTTCGGCAGGTGGTGTCTGACTCGTTCTCGAGGACGCCCATGATAAGATCAGCTGCATCAGGCACCAGGTGCTCATCTAATGAGTAGATCGAGTAGATCGCGAAAATTGCATTCTTTCGGACGTAGGCATGTCGGTGTTCAAGACAAGATCGAACAGACGGAATCAAAGGGTCGAGAAGCTCTGACTCCTTTAATTTGCCGAGAAACCGTAAGGTAGCTCCCCGGATATATTCGTTTGGATGCTGTAAGTCATTTCTAATGGCGTTACTGTTAAAAAGTAAAATGTAAGTTTTTGCCAATTACTCATATTCCGCCATTGTAGAGCCATGTCAATGTCGTACTTACCAGACGAGAATCATCTCTTGCTT